CTTTCTATGAGGCATAGCTCCTTTTGGCACAAGAGTTCTTGCACAAAAAGGTGTGTGTGGATGCTCCTCAGGGGTTTCTTGTGCAAAAAGAGCCTATCAGAAAAAGCACAGGTGTTCTGATGGCCATTCTGTGAATGGCAATCAGAACTTTCCTGCACAAGAGTGTCAATGCAGTGTGGATGCTCTCTTGCACAAAAGCACATTGCTTTTGCGATGTGCTTTTGAGGTGTGGACGCGCTTTTGCACAAGAAGTTTTTGTGGAATATCTCTTCTGCAAAAAGCTTTTTACGCAAAAACCTGCAGTGTAGACACAGCCGGAGTTCAGCCCCCCACAGCCTCAGGAGGAGAGGCGAGACTACTTGCATGGATTGCCCCAGTGCATTCAGCAGGGAGTTGTGGGGCAAAGGTGGGAGGATTATAACAAATTATCTAATCACCTGTCAAGGAGAATTGGGGCTGGTGCATGTGTGAACTGAGGAGAAGACAGTGCCTTGGCTACAAGTGCTGATGGAGTTAGGTAACAGCCAAGACCACCCAGTACAGGGCTTGTGGTCAAGCAAACTCCTCCACAAAGCCACAAACATTCTGCATTTTTCTCCTTGGCCTGGGTGCTTTCTTATCATCCTATGCTCCTAGTTGCACCCCAACACTCTGCCTAACCTGGAGCTCCCACCCAGAGACAGCACCGTGCACCCTCTCCTACATCCTAACAATCTGCCATTGCCTGGAGTCCCCTCCTGCATCCAAATTCCTTCCCAGAGCTTGCATCTCTGACCCCCTTGCACTCCCAAATTCCTTGGCCCTGTCCCAGAGGAAGGGACGAGGTAGATCCTGGGTTGTCCTGACATTTAAAAAGTGATCTTGAGAGTAAAAAGGTTGGAGACCACTTCTCTGGTATCTTCCTTCTGTGTGTCTCACCTCCTGTGCAGCTCTTGCCATCGGGAGCAACATTCCTATACCTTTCTGCTTTCTGTCTGTCTCTCTCTCTCCACATCATTTTAAATCTCACCCAAGAATATTTTTTTGCTTTCTCCCTGACCTATCTCTTTCTCTGTTCCTCTGCTGTAGTTTATATCTCTGTGTTAGGAACTCTGAAGGTTTCTTTAGAAATTTGTCTGGCCTCTTTTGCCTGAGGCAGATGTATAAGATCCCTTAGCTATACAACCTTATCGTACCATGTTATTACTCCTATGATGTAAGTTTTGATGTATATATTAGTCCCAAATGGAAGCTGATATCCCTGTTATTTAAAGAAAAACACTTCACTCTAAGGTGAGTGATTGATGGCACGATGGTAATGCTTCACTATCGGTGATATTTTGTAGTAAAAGGAACTTAATAGAAAAGGTGCCTATATAAAGTTGAAATGAGCAAATATAACCCTACAGCTCTTTCAATAAGATGAAAAGGAATTTTTAAAAAGTGTAAAGTACAGAAAACTCTGGGGACATGGATTTTTGGTCTGCCAAGTAACTTAAGAAACCATACTGTAATCAGCCTGTCCCCACATACTTTTGTCTGTGTGAGTTTATTTAAATCCCTATGCCTACAGTTGTCTCTGTGTCTGCAAAGCCACAAGAGCTAGCATCTGGAAGACCTTATTGGGACTCTTATAGCAAAATGTGAATTTGGGCTCTTACCTGCTATTTGTGCATGAAAATGTATCAATGATGGAATTAAATTATGCACTTTGCACTTTGAAATTAAATCTAAAAGGGGCCTAATTTTCAAACATGTACAACACACGTATTAGATGTATGATGAGGAAAACAAAGTACAGGTTGAACCTCACTAAACTGACACACTCTGGTTGAGCAACATCCATGGTCTGTTAGGACCATGGATGTTCTAGGACCAGAAAGTCCTAGTGGAGGTTTAGAAGCTGGAAGCTCTGGAGGCTGACAAGGTAGTGGGCTGCTGGCAGTGAATTGCCCATGAGACCGGCAGCAGGGCTGGGAAGTTTAGTGGGAGCGGCAGGGCAAGAGGTCCGGTGGCGGGGGGAGCCAGCTGGGAGGCCAGTGGCTGTGGGGAGCGGGAGGCAGAAATGACCTCCCCTGGTCTGGCAAAATCCCTCATCCAGGACCACTTGGGTCCTGAGAGTGCCGGGCCAGGAGGTCCAACCTGTAGAAACAATATGTTGCGCTTTTCACCAGCAGATCTTAAAGTTTACAGAAGCCAGTGTCATTATGCCCATTTTACAAATGGGGACATTGAAGCAAGGGGAGGAAAAGTGACTTGTTCAAGGTTACCCATTGTTCGAGTGGCAGAACTGAGAATAGAACCAAAATTTGAATCCCGATTCTGTTGTTTGTCCACCAGACCATGCTGCTTTCATGTACTTAAAGCTCTAATAATTCCTTACAAGCTTTTGTCTTTACTTACTGCAGAGCTGAATGTGTAGAGAGGAGAGGAAGAATCTCACTGCATTTAAAACAACACAATCACATTTTATTTTTGTCAAAAAGCAAAACATTTTGTGGTTTCATCTAACCTTTATTTATTGACTTTTTAAAAAAAAAACTGGTGAAGCTGGCCTTTACCTTTTAGTGAATGTTCTACTGCACTTCTCCTAAATATGGAAAGCAGTATTGAATATATGAAAGTGGGACATGTAATTGGAAAAACCAGCAGCAAAACATCAAATTCGTGTCATGAATTGAGCACTCTTACAGACCACCACAACTATGCTGAATCCCATTGACTCCAGTGGGACTCCAAATAGATGTAAGAATCTGTCCTTTCATATCAGGTAACAGGATATGGGCCCTGAAGAGAAAGCCAAATGTTACTGTATTCAGATGAGGTTTGAAGGAAGATGACAATGAAGGGCTAAACATGTTGTTAAGAGTTTTTAGAATTGGGCTCATTATTGATTTGATCACGTTTCACGCCACAAATTACTTAGTGTAAACTGATAGATTTGTACAGCTGTATTAGAGAGGCATAATCGGTAAACAGATTTTCAAAGGTTGCTTTTCCGCCCACTGCAGCATTGGTTTCTCAAAGGACACCAAATAGCGGCTGCAATATGTGATAGAACATGTTAAGTCTGATGGCAAAGTTTTAAAAAATAATTTTCATCCTACTCCAGTGTTTTCAGCTGCACATGTCAAATAAACAAAATGAAAAATGCAAACATAGACACCTTGGCGGAGATGTTAGATCTGGTTAATTTGCATCACTTGGTGCAAATTAGAATCTATCTATATATTTTAGAATTGTGCATCTGTCTGTTTGTCTGTCCGTTTGTTCAAGAACTTCTAAAAAGTAAGAGCTAGGACCATTCAATCTGGTATGCAGCTTCCTCTTCTAATTTAAAGCAAGGTCTGCATTTGATTGCACCAGGAAAATGGAAAGTGTCTGAAATGGAATTGTTTTCCATAACATGGAAAGGGAGGGGACTGTTTGGAGGGTCGCTATACTGCAGAGTAACCACTACCGGCAGTGAATGCAAAGGAGAGCTATATGGCATATTGACCACTGTAGGCAGCTGCACCACAATCTACATTGCATAGTGACCACTGTAGACAGCCACACCACAATCTTGCTGGCCACTGGACTGAGTGAGTGACCCACCTGCCCCAATCGCCTTCCCCCGGCCTTTGGCCACAGCACTGGAGGGGGGGAGGGGGACTGGGAAGGAGGAAAGAGCCCCACCGGACAGGGAGGGAGAGGGAAGAGCGCTTCTGGATGGTGGGGAGAGATGGCCCCTGCTGGATGAGGGAGGGAGAGAAGCCCCGCCCCACTGGATGGATTGGGGGAGAAGCTGGTGGACATCTCCCAACCCTTGCCCTGAGCTCCCCCTCATCCCAATCCCTTGCTCTGATTCCTGCACCTCCGCCCCCTGCCAGAGCCTGATTCCTCTGTCCTGATTCCTGCACTTCCCATCCCCCACCCTGAGCCTCTCCTCACCCCAACCCTTATTTTCACACCCCCGCCACTCTCAGACTCCTTGCCTGAACCCCTCCTCAACCCCTTACCCTGACTCCTATCCTTACCTCTTACCCCATGCTCCCAGCCTCCTATCTTGAGCCCACCCCATCCCTAAAGCTCTGCCATGACTCCTGCACACACATACACACACACCCACTGCCAGACCCTGCCCTGAGGGACCTGGGCAATGCCAAGTAAGTCTTCTAGTAGTTAATATTTCGATTATGTTAAGATTATGTTGGTTCACCCTTCTTCTCGAGGGAAATATATGAGGGGCAAATTTCAAAAAGAAAAGGGCTGGTTGGTCTCTCCATCCATGTGGGCCCACCCTAATTGTATTGCAGAGTTGGGGAGTTAATCGCTCAGAAATAACTCTCTTAAACTTGACCTGTAGTGTTTATGTATTATCAAAAATATATACAGTAAAACTCCAATAGTCCGGCATCCAATAGTCCAGCACTCCTGATAGTCCGGCATCAAAATGGCAAGAGCCTAGTGAGTGAGCTTCGGCAAAAAAATGAGTCACAAGGTAACAGCGGCAGCAGCTGAACTGAGCAAAAAGGGTAAAAAAGGCTTAAAAAAACTAAAACATTACAGTATACTGTATACAGTATGTACAATAAAAAGGGTTAAGAACACTTTATATACAGTATATAATGTATACAGTATATATATATAACCATTTTATAGTATCTCCTGGTAGTCCGGCATATTTGATAATCCGGCACCATCTAGGTCCCATAGATTCTGGATTATCAGAAGTCTACTGTATGTACCAATACTACTTATTGTTGCTTGCATTACTGGAGGGGAGATGTGTTTATTATTAATGTTTGCAGGGGATGTGATATATCTTCAGCGAGGGACTTCCTTTTTCCTCTGGTTTTGGTGCTTGGTCACTGGCTTTATTTATTTTAAGTTAATTTTGCCCAAGTTGAAACGCTGCTGTGTGTTCTTACTATTGCTCGTTCATGAAAGCCTGCTAACTGCACTCAGCCAGATGACTGTTTCTCAGAAGTGAATTGTGCAGTTCACGTTCTTTAATTTTCATTCCCTTTTCATTACAGCCAACCTTCCTCCAGCTGACTGTTCTCTCACTCTGCATGTGCGCGTGTGAAAGCCAGTGAGAGAGAGAGCGAGAAACATTGCCTGGGCTATGCTGACAGACGACTTTTTTCCTCAGTTGTCAGTTTTCTTGTCTGTCAGCAGAGCTGCTGGTAAGTGGAAGAAAACAAGGGAGGGGTTGAGACTGAGATGAAAGAGAAGGAGAGGGAGGACCAACACTGGAGGGAATGAGGGCTGCCTTTCAAAGCACAGTGGAGTGAGGACTGACAGGGTCCAGTGAATAGAGAAGCAGACAATCGGGAACTGTACAACTGCCAATATTCCCCAGTGTTTCATCAGACAGCTCAATTGTCAGCAAGCGTTTCCCCACCCCTCCTTTATAAAGACCGTTCAACTGGTATTACTGATTGTATCCTTGCCTTATGGTAAAAAATCTGTGGTGGCTTTCAATCTGGAGATCAGCCTCTAATCCCTCCATCAGACTCAGGACCATGGCATGTTGCCACAGCTATCCTCAGTGTACACCTGGAGTTCTTGCTGTCTACACACACTTCCTCTAATCAAAGCGAGAGGTTGTGTGTATGTGAGGGGAAGTGTTTGTAAAAATGTTTGCTGCTCCTGGTCAGTATTAAAGGTGGAGCGTGTGCATGTGCGGGGGGTGGTATCCATACTCTCTGAGCTTTAACCAAAGTGATAACCTGCAGCTATGGAATCACCAACTAAGGAAATTGAAGAATTTGAGAGCAACTCTCTGAAATATCTACAGCCTGAACAAATCGAGAAAATCTGGCTTCGTCTGCGAGGACTGTAAGTGATACTTGTTCTTATCCCTCTTCCTTCTCTCTATTTCCTTCCATTGTTATAAAATAATTATTGCAACACTTTATTGTTCATTTCTTCTGTATACCTTTTAAAATAACCCAAGAGTTTCCACACCTGCTCTCTATAAATACAGTGACTTGCACTTACTTATCACAAAAGAACAGTTTGTTTCCTTAAATGTGTTGAACCTACTTGCTACAGAACTAATGTTTCCCAGTGGGGAAGAGGCATTGAAATATAACAGTCGCCAAGATATTAATTATTTTGCTTACTGTAGTAGCATAGCTTCGGTATACACAAGGTGACACTTAATTCAAAGCCTAGGTATTTTTGAGTTTGTTGATAAACAGAGCTATATGCAGCATATACTGTATTAGCAAAAAGAAAGTCATCTTAATCTATATGTACACAAGTCCCAGCACTAAAGTGGTTAATATGAATAAATGGGAAAAAAGGCATCATTTGGAAACATTTCTAATAGCTAATATAATGGCTGAAAATCCATGTTCTTTTATTAATGCTCAGACATTTAGGTCAGAATGTGTTTATTAATTTATACATTTGTGTTAAGCACAACTTTGCCACATTGAGATGAACTGATCCCTCCATCACAGAAAAAGATGTTTGCTAAATAAAGATGCTGTGATAGATCAGAATTAAAATCGGACAGTTCTTAGTGCTTATATACAGATCTTTTATCCTCTTTGTATGTATTAAAGGGCATACCATTATACCATCTACTTGCGCCTCACTTTCTGATGAAGCCTAAAAAAGTTATTAAAATAAGTGGCATCTGTTCAGATGTTCACAGTTGATTTTCTTTTTACCCTCACATGTTGGAATTAAAAAAAACTTTTTTTTTCACTGAAGAGAGGGCTAAGGCCAACATATAAACTTGTTTTTTAGCAATATTTTGAGAGTGAAATGATATCATATTTTATGAATAGCATCTAGTACTTGTGTTTGAGTTTTAATGGCCTAAAAGTCATATATGAATATGCATTTTTCTCAAGGATTCATTCCAGAAAGCCTGTTTTATGAAGAAGTTTAATCAAATGAGATGACAGCTGTCTCATAACTATTCCAAATAGAACAGCTATACAGCACCAAGCCTCTCATTTTCAAGTCTTTGCACCATGTTGTATAATTACTAGTTCATGAATTCATGTCTAAATACCTACACGCTGATTCAGTCTACACCTGATGTTCAAATCTGTATTTAAATCTTTCATAGCATTGCTGTTCAATAGCAGTGTGACAGACAGATTCTAATCTAATTTTATACCCTTGCAAATTAAGTACCTGTGTCGATTTCAAAGAAGTTATCCCAGATGTAAAATGGTCAGAATCAGGCTGTGTTATCTACACTATGTGCACTGTACTAATACACCCTCTTTGTGTAGGCATAAGTACGATATACTGTGCATCCACTGAAAACCACTTTTTATCTTGTGAGTTTCATGATCTTTCTTCCTGTCGGAAATAATGTATTGTAAGGTAGCCTTCCTTGATTTCCTGTAAAATGTCTCAGTGTAGAACAAGATGTTTCAGTTTTCTAATTGTGTTGCTCTGATTAAGACTTTAGAAGTGTTTCCATTTCCATTTGTTATGTTTGAGATTTTAGCACGTAAAAAAAAATTGGCTGCAAGCTGAGATTTGGCACACACTGTTTTCACACCAGAAGTGTTCTTGTTTTTTCCATACGTGTACACGTAATTTTCAGTGCAAAGATGTGGCTATTTTATATATTGACAACTATACAAGGGCCTTCATCTCAAGACTTCAAACAGCACTTTATAAACCATGTATTGTCATAAACATAGGAATCCATTCATCCACCTCTGGAATTCAGACAGCTTTATAATGCTGACACTTTTTTGAAGACACAGCAGCTCTACAAAACAGAGTAAGACAGAACATAAAACATTATACTGCCAGTTGGAACTGCCCTAGGAATTTTAGATGGGCACATTGTAATTACCCAAATTGGGAATTTGATCATGTCACTTGTAATGTTAAAATGGCAATGGGACCATTAATGTTCACAGGTGCTAAGGCATTGGTTTTACATCTGATTGGAAAGAAAGCACCTGCAGCAAACATTACCCCCTAGCACCATATGGAGTATTTACTCAGTAGTGACTCAGCCAGCAGACCAACATACTGAATCACCACCTAGATTTTCCCGAGAGGTCTGGCTAAATTATAACCATATCTGAGCCTCCTTAGCTTTGACAAGTTCAAAGCCTAAAGTAGCATGGGGGTGGCACACTGTATTTTGAATCAATTGTTTGTAAGTCACTGTGTCTTAGAATATTTTCTGCTTAATTAAATAAGGGGCAAATCTGGAACATGATAAGGATCCCAGTATTTCACATTTAGTGCAGGTCTGCTGTGCAAGGTGAGCAGGCTTGTGAGAGTTGTGTACAGGGTGTGTACTGCCTGGGAGTAGGTGTGGAGAACTCTGAGGTATTATTTAAGAGAAAAGTTAGGAGGGTTTGCGATTAGGGGATTTACCGCAGTGTGGATTATTTGGTCTTCTGCTCCAGGGGCAAAAGGCATGTAAGAGCTAATCAGCATGAGGAACTATCTCATATGGAGTGAGAGAAGTTTCCTTGTCCTTATCTCCAAGCATTTGTTCAGCTCAGCTATTAGGCCAAGGCATGAGGATTTGGTCATTAGTCCATGTACAGTCTTAAATCCCTTCACAATTAACATTTGAAAATGGACATATATAGTAACACTTCTCTAAATGTTTTTAATTGGAATATACAAGTTAACATTCTAATGTTCCTCTCAGCAAATTTGCATACTGTGAAGGAATATTGAGTCTATGGAGCCATAATGCTCTGTCAGGTAGAAAAATTGCTCACTTATATCTGGTAAGATGTTAATGTGTCTCTGATTAGAGATTGACATTGTAAACAATAACTGTTTTATAACTTATCTACATACCTACTTATCTGGCGAATTTATCAAAGCTGGAAAAGAGCCTGTTTGCATTGATTTAGGAATCTGTATTTTAATAGATCTGGTAATAGGCTATTACCTGTTGTGATGAGGTACTGTCAGAGCTGTGTGAAACTCCAGTTTTTGTCTTGCTAGGTTTTCACACCTGAGAAGTTTGCCCTTTTCTCTTATTTTCCACTTCCAAAATGTCAGTTCTCAGATATTCCCCTGCATCAGCAAAATTATTACCGTGTTTCTGATGTGCCAACAACCATCACTTGAAAATGGACTCATCTTCCCAAAAGAAAAAGCATATGTTCTGGCCAAGTTTTTTTTTCCCCCCCACGGAAGTAGACCAGTTTTTGAGTCCCTGACATAATGAAGAAAAATTAACTGAAACTGTGAGCTACTCTGCATTTCTTTATGAATGTAGAGATTGCCCATTGTCCTTCCCCCATGGGGAAGCAAGTCAGCTGCCACTGTGACATTATCCCTACAGGGTCCGGACCTACAGGGTATGACTGCACTGCAGAGTTTTTTCGGGCCCTGGTGGCCATTCTGCCCATAGTAATCAAAGCTTACATGTGAGAGAGCGTCCGTTCAGTGTGGACACTATCTATCGAAAAAGCTGATCGCTTTTTAGATGTGCTTTGGCAGTGTGCACACTCTCTTTCGGAAGGAGTTTTTTTGAAAGATCTCTTCTGGAAAAGCTTCTTCCAAAAGAAGCCTGCAGTCTATACATAGCCACAGAGAGCTCTCAACAGATCTGGAGATCCGTGGTTGGAAAAGGAGTGGATTCAGGTGGACCTTAAGAGAATGTTCATTTTTTAAAGCAAGGGGGAGGCAGGGAGAAGAACACAATGAGCCACTGGGCTAATTGGAGCCCTAGAAAGGAGCCTGTGGCCAATGTCATCTTTCTTATGGCAGGACAGTTCACAGAGACTTCAGGTCCTGCAGGTGCTGCTCTCTATTGATCTGCACACCTTTGCACTCCAATTAAAGATAAAGCAATGAACATGCCTTGTCTGTGGGCTTCTCCTCTGTGTTAGTTGTGGGCTGCCTGTCATCATTTTCAATTAATATAACTTACGTGAGACTGTTAGGCATTTGGCGGGTCACCAGTTGCAACCCTTTGCTGAGCATGCCAGTCATAGTTTATTCTTGACTTCTGAACTTCATTGATCTGATGAGGTATTTACTTGGCTATATGTTAGTGTACCATCAGGGCAGGGAATAGAACAGAGCAAGTCAGAGCAGGGGCGGCCCGTGGATGTAGGCAACCTCGGCAGTTGCCTAGGGTGCAGCATTTAACGTGACGCCTAATGATGACATCACGCCATTGAGGGCTATGGAGGCGGGGGCGCCGATCGCGCATTCCGCCTAGGGCACCAGTTGCCAACAGCTCTCCTCGAGCCGCTCCCAAGTCAGAGCAGAGTTCTTAATTTCCTGACTTTTATACCATAAAACCAGAACCCTCACGTTATATCCATGTAATTTTATTCTGTCACATGTATGTGCTCACAGTGCACCATTATCAATACCCACAGGTGGTTAAATAGTGATCAAGCTGTTTTGCCTTTGTAATGGCACCCACGTGCAGCTGGCATATATTCAGCCCTTGCCTCGTTGAGCTTGTATTGAATAGATGAGCTCTCTCTGATTCCTCTGGCACTTGGCTACAGAGCCATTCATTTGTTTTCTTGTATGCGGTTCACTTTGAACAACTGCCTGTTATTTCTGAGAGTGGTGTTTCATGAAGTCTGACAAGCTTAGAAGACTACAGGAAACTATGTTTCCGACGAACGTGCTGTGTGTGTTTTCAGGGCTCTGGAACAGAAATGGGACTCTTCACTTTCAAACAGGAGGTTTGTACTTGCTTCTTTGCGGTACATGCCTAATCTACAAAGCTCTTCTTCATTCAGATCTGTTGTGCCCAGCAAGGGGATCTAACATCTTTTACAGATGAATTGCTTAGAAGGCGATAAAACTGGGAATCTGTAATTAGTTCCATCATCTATTCTCTTCCGTGGCTACTA